TTTCATTTGTATTTTCTTTGGTTTTACACGCTCGAAAAAAATAAATAAACTAATCAAAGTATCCAATTCAGCTGGAAAGTAGTGGGTCACAAATTAAATGGTCTTTATAAATAAATCAAAGTGAAATATTAAACATAGAATAGAGCCCTTGCAACCACCACATTATGGCCCAATCCCAAACCACGCCCTACCCTACCCCTCCGTTCGCGCGGAGGGTCCGCCATATTAAGTGCTGTTCCAAACCGAGTGTGGAGGGGGAGTGGGCTATCAAGCCCTCAAACAGCGAGTCTGCAGTGGTGCTGACTTGAGACCGGTCTCTACCTGACCGTCAGGAAACAAGCTGTTAACAAGTAGTTCCAGCAAACATCCACTGATACATTTCAATGTTAACAACCTCATGATAACCTCATGTGTTTTAACTTAGGATCGTACCTGTGTTTAGTCTAGAAAAAGGTAAATGTGTGCATTTTATTATAAAGTTGTGTATATTTACAGACTGTTGCAAAAACTAAGAAGCTTATAAAAATCAGGTTTAAAACTAAAAGAGCTTTACAAAAAAGTAACACAATGAAAGATGTTTAGTTTTATTTGAGTTATTAATTTTAATTTTTTGTCTAAGAGATGCTGATTTGAAACCGTTGTTACATACAGTTACGGCATTTCCTGTTTCTGCCGAAGAGAGGGAAGGCCGTCCCAAAGCTTGCCGCTGTATTTACTCCCTCCATCTGACAGGAGGGAGCCTCGTTGAGCTGCGAGTGTAGCTACAGACGGAGTTCACTCCATCACAGAGGGGTAGGGTCGAGGGAGTGGTTTGGGATTGGGCCTATATTGTTTTTGTTTCCTGTTTAAAAGCAATGAGTGACCTCAATAAGGTAAAGTTTTGTTTCCACAAAAATGGCTGTATGGTGCTGCTGAGAGAACACAAGCGTTAACCACAGACTATACAGACTTGACACATTTGAACTAAGCTCTCACTGCTATATCATTAGGATAATCTTTCAAATTGAGAGGGAATTGCAGGAAATGTAATTGTCTCATCGTTGAACTGTCCTGTGTGCAGCGGAGGGGGGGGAAGCAGCAGTGGAAGTGGTCCAAGCGGTCCAAGCGCTCCTCGGCGCAATTCACGTGACTATGACCGCGGACATGACCGCGGATCCGACCGAGGATACGACCGTGGATCCGACCGAGGATACGATCGTGGATCCGACCGAGGTGGCTATGATCGCTATGACGACAGGGACCACCAACGCTCATACAGGTGACTATTAATCCTTTAGCATAAATCCTCCAGATTATAAAATGTTTTCCCAATTTGTTGTATTTTATCTGAAGCTGAAAAATAGGAAATACAAAAAGTCTTTATTTTGTCTAGTTCCAGAAGGCGATCTCCGTCTCCGTACTGCAGAGGGAATTACAAGACTCGGTCCCGATCGCGCTCTTATTCTCCCCGTGAGTCATTTCCACAATAATCTACTCTTTTATTGGCTAATATAAAGGGTTACATTTTGTCTAAAGACTCTGTTTTACTTCACAGGACGCTACTAAATGTTGCTGTCAAGCCCCTCCACCTCCCACACAGACAGGAAATATTTGATGATTGATTTCAGAATAGATCTTCTTAAGGTGATAATCACACTTCTGTTTCTATCGTACATGACCAGTAAATGTATTTTAGTTGTCAGCAGTTGTCATGAATCGAGCTGTACCCTCGTGTTTTTTATTTTGAAATGTTTAGGCAATGTCAGCCGTGGAAGATATATTAATGTTTTTGTTAATGTATTTTTTGTATAACAATTGAGTGAACGCTCATCTCTAAACGGATTAAAACTAAGAGGCTTTCTTTTCCAAACTGACTCATGTCCTTCCTCACAGCATCTGTACATACTTTAACCTGTTGCTGCTGCAAGGATGTTATAAAACAGTCAAGGATGTATCGTAGCCGTCATCTCATTACATTACTATGGGATCATTTCCAAACTATGTTTGTTCTCTTAACTTAAACAAATGAAATGGAAGTGCTTGTCTTCTACATTTCTTCCTGGGGAACCACCATTAAACTCATTAAGCTCAATTTAGTCTAAAATGCTTTTTTCTTTTTTTAAACCTTGAAACTTGTCATAACCTTAAAGATAAGCTACCTGTTTCATACTTGTGAAATTACACAGAAACAGATCCTTACTAGATTGATATATCGCGTCATATTAAACAATAATTGCATAGATATGGCTAAATCCAGTTCCATCTTATCTAATACGTTCTGTGGCAAATATTAAAGATGACACAAATATCTGCAGCCTGCGATTCCAGACCTTTGAGTCATTTAAGTAATGATGTGAAACTAAATGGCAATTCAGTCTGATTTATCAAGCTAATATTCCCTGACCAGGAGCTGTAAATCTGTCTTCTAAATGCTACTGCGTATCAGTAACAAGTTTAAACTAATATAGATACAGCATGTGTGTGTGAAATGGTTATTTGTTGGCACTCTTTATCATCCTTTAACAAACTGATGAGGAAAACTGAACCCTTATTAAATGAAGCTAAACAAGTTAATTAATTTAGTTTAAACTGCTACTCAACATGACAGTCGTATGACCCCTACTGGTACACTACAGTACTACACATCCTTAACTGAGTAACTTGTTAAAGCTTCAGTTTATTGTAGTCTGTCGGTGTTATTTCTGTTTGACCAAATATTATATATTTATACAGCTAACTCAACTATTTTGACTGAGCAATGCTGATCATTTTGGTTTCATGTGTCCTCATTTTTAAATATCCACCAAATGCTACTATCTTCATTAATGGATGTTATGTCAGGCACTTACAACTGCCTTTTTAAAGAAATGTAAAAGCTTCAAACACAAGTGCAGTATTTACTTACAATTTATGTGTTTAAAAGTTTCTTAAGCTTGTGTTGCTTGTTTCAAACATTTGAACAAAAACACTGCTTTGAAATAAGGGAACAGGAAGGATTGTATTCAATACATCTCATTAGCAAGGTTTACACAAGAGCAATCCAACAAAAAAGCAAACTAATCATTAAACTGCCAGTTCCTTAAAACTGCATTTGTGAGCAATAGTTGAGTCAATGGTTTATTTTTATAGTGCACAACATTGCAGAATGATTTACTTTTGAGATCTAGATATGAATGGAAAGTGTAAAATGTGAACTGAAAATGTATTTCTTGTTTTAATCCTGTTTTTCTTGTAATGCTGTTGTTTGCTTCCTGTATACAACCCCCACCCCTTCCTGTTAACATCTTTTTAAAACGTTATATATTTTTCTCTCCAGTTTAATTCATTGTTAAATTGTTCCTTTGTTGTAATCAGAATTGGTTGATCAGGATGAGAGTTAAGAAAGTATGGGTAGTTAAAATGACAAACAAAGGAAAAGAAGATGAAGAGACAATAGAGAGCAAAGCAAAAAGACACCGTCGACCACACCTTGAAAACAACATGCGCCCTTTTCTTCCCCTCTAATACCACAAGTCCACGTGTGTGTGTGTTGTTTGTTTTGATCACTCTGTGTTCCCTCACTATTTGTGAGCACACTGACCTAGAAGGGCATAACATGTTAGTAAGAAAGGATGCCAACATATCCTGAGTGTGTGATTGATTTAAACTGCTTTGTGTTTATTCACTTATAGAAAAGTAAAATGGAACTGCTGTTAAAAGTACTTATGCTATATGAACTCAGAATGATTCTGCTGGCATCAGAGAGGCCTGCAACAACTCGTGTTAGCATGTCATCGGGAAGGTAACTGAAGAGCTGTTTTGTAAATAGGCCACAGTTTGGACATTCCTCTGTTCACACACTGACGTAAACAAGCAGAGGAACAGTCACTCCTGCTGCTGGCACACTCTCCACTACAGCAGGGTGGCAGTAATGTTCCAAGGCAGAGGCTAGTCACATGTAGAAACACTCCAGTGCTGTAGGCTCAGGCTCCTCCTCCTGGTAGCTGCTGTAGGTACACATCCATGCCATGACCCATGCACGAGCACTGCAGTCTGTCGCCATACAGCTCCACAGACCTTCCCCTTGCATTTCAGCTTTTGTTTTGAAATCTTGCCAAGATACTTCAAAACACACCCTCAAACACACACCTCCAAAACACATCCCATTAATGTGCTATACCATATGAGCTAAGGCTGGCTGAGTGACCCTGCAGGGCCTCCACATAGTTAAAATAACTACTAATAAATTATCAGGAAAAAAAAATAGATTGATTTAGTTTTAGTCTTAGTCATCCACTAGCACCATCCACAAGTGGAAATGCAAAGCAAAAGTGCCATCACCTTTTGTAATGTGTAAAATGTGCAGGTCTGAGGACTTTTAATCAGTTATACCTGACGAGGATGTCAACATTAATGTCTGTTTCACAGTCATTTCTGCACAAGGGCAGAGTCTACAAGAACGGCTGTGTTAAGGTTTCACTTTCTGTATTGTTTTAAAACAAAAGCCTGTTTTCTTCTTCTTTTGCAGTTTTCTATTATTGAAACTAAGTCCTAATATTATTAGGTATTTGTATTTTACATTGCATTTTATAATCTCAAACAGGCATCCATGGCGAGATGTGGACCCCCTGCGTCCACATCTCTATAAAATCCATATTTCTGTGTCTCATAAATAAATAAGAGGCAAACTGTGGGGATCGGTGACACTGTTTGGGCCGACAAGTACAGTGACAACGACTTGATTTTCCACGCAGTGGCTTTTTTTTTTTTTTTTACTCTTCCAGGCTTGAGGGACCCAAGGCACGAGCCTTATTATGATTTGATGAAATAACCCCTCTGCTTCCTTAAAGCCCATCCCTTTGCTGAATATACCGAGTGATCATCATGACACTTTCATTCCCCAATGTACTTTCCACGCTGGAGAACCAGGAGTGATCGCACATGCACCTCCAAACATTTTTTCTTGTGATTTTTAAGGGAGATTTTATTTAGAGGCGGTGCTTGTTGGCTCCAGAGAAGCGTCGTAACGACACTTTCCCCCCCCAGTCTCTGTTAAAAGAGTTAGACCGGGGCCAGAGTTGGTGCTGGGGGGTCGCCTATAGTTTAGTAATTTCCTGGGGGGTAATTGCTAGTTTTTTTTTATCCCGTCAGATTTTCTATTTCATTTTATTTTTTATATTTTTACTACTCTGAATTATCGCCACTCTCACTGTTAAGATCTGATATCCCCACGAGATTTTTCCTTTCAGATCATGAACAAACTATATGTTGGGAATTTAAGTCCTTCGGTCACTGTCGAGGACTTGAAGGAGCTCTTTGGGGAGAAGAAGCTGCCAGTGGCCGACCAGGTCCTGCTGAAATCCGGCTATGCTTTTGTGGACTTCCCCGACCAGAACTCGGCCATAAAGGTTATAGAGACTCTTTCTGGTAAGTGTGGATTTGATAAGTGATGCTGCTGGTGACAGGGGCAATTCACAGCGAGTCAAACTGCAAGATCAGGTTAAAACATAATAGCTCGGTGTGTCCGAAATATTAATCATTACTTGTGTTATTATTATTTTTGTATTATTGCTCGGGACAGTGTTTGCGATCACATCCGTGTGTCATCAGAGTTTAGATGAACGCTCAGCCATGCACGCTCCTACAAAAAATGGATAATTTATCGATCACAGGACACACTGAGGGCTTTAGTGCCCAATTGCCTAAAGAAAACACTAGCCCTCCTTTCGGCATTACCGTGCACAATAACCTATATTTTGGAGATTCCGATAGTGTGGGGCGCTACTTTGCAATCACCCGCTGGAATGTATGGGATGGTCTGATGGTTCGGGTCGGCATAATTATTTTTCACTTATTTTTTATCTTGATTTTATTGAAGAGAGCACAGCAAAGCCAGCGCGGAAAACTTGTCAGATCCATGTTCCTCTGATGTCTGGGTATGTTTTTACGAGGTGTCTTGGAGGTGGGTCATGGGGGTCCGGAGGAAAGAGCTAATAAACAGGTAGCTGAGGGGGGACGAGGTGAGACGCTAATTCCGTGCTGCGCCAGGCCACTCATAATAACGAAAACCCGTGTTCAAGCCTCGCCGAGGAGCGCTTCAAATGCACCCCCGGCTGAGTCACGGAGAATTAAAGAAACCTACCTAGAATAGAAAGAGTACAAGTCATTCTCCTTTACCATCTCTTCTTTGATGTTGCATTCTTAACAGAGCAGAACAAATACCCCTCATTGCACTGCGAGTTGTGGGAGTGGAAAGCATGGCTGCCCATTTCCCCCCTACTATAAAGCTTATCATGCTTCATGTTGGCGCCGATTTCTACTAATTTTAACCAACAAAATGTCTCGGTGAGGTTGTTATTATCCAAACATACCCAGTAGTTTATCCGCCGCCCTGCGCACAACGCGCCCGGGTACAGTACTTTTTCTAGGGGTTGGCTGTTTGAATGGGGACGCACCTACTTGGTGAAGTGATTCAAAGTGTTGCTGTGTAGGCCTACCAGTTTGCATTGTTGCTTTCATGACATACAGATAATGTTACACTATCAATTTTCGTCTCTACAGGTAATGTTGAATTACACGGAAAGGTGATAGAGATAGACTACTCTGTTCCAAGAAAACTAAGGTAGGCCTACACTCTGACACACACACACACACACACACACACACACACACACACACACACACACACACACACACACACACACACACACACACACACATACACACACACACACACACACACATACACATACACATACACATACACACACACACTCTTGTGTCATCATCCGCCCCATGCTGACTGTGACCTGTAAGCTTCCGCTGTGAAATATAGCTCGCACATTTCCCTCTTCTCTGGGCTTCTGTGTGTGATTTTTCACGTCCCTGGCCATGTTTTATTTACTGGCGAGGGATATGTAATTGTATTGTGGTTAAACAACAGAAACAAAGCGACAAAGAATCAATTTAATCCCAACATCCACAGAACACACGGTGTCTGCTGCCCGCATGATCTGCAGCAAGGCCTATCCCACTGTAAAACATGGACACACACAAACACACCCACGCATGCATGTAATAATGGCCTCTTAATTGGATTTTATAAGCTGTAATCACACTTTCGTATTATGCTGCTTCACATACATAATTAGTTTTCCCAGTATGTAAGCGATAAAGTTAGGTTTCAATATTGACTGTAACACTGCATTGCACGATGAGTTGCATACCAATCAGCTGAGCCTCTCCTATACATGTGTGTATGTATGTGAGAAACACGGTTTGTGTGTGTGCGCGAGGAAAGCTCGAGTTGAATGTTTGTGAGCGAATCTATATTTACTCTGAAATCCAAAACACAGCACTTGTTGTACGTCATAAGGAACCTTTTGGTCAGTTTCTACGCAGTGTAAAAACATAAAAGCGTTTAATTTCATGGAAATAATAATTAAACATCCCCCCTTTACATAATGCGTAATACACTCTTTGTGGCAGATTGTGCAGCCAACACTCTCAACACGTATAGCTCCACCTTTTTTTCTCTCTCACAACAATGACTTTGGCTTTAGGGAAAGACTACATTGCGTGACAAAAAGGTAAATATTCAAGCCCCTTGTGGAGAAACACGTGACCCATACTTTATTCTTCCAGCAGTCCTCCCCCTTCAGTGCAGGCTACACTTCCCTGCATTACAGCCCTCGCTTTTTTTCTCTCTCTTGTGGCACACCGTAAAGTAAAACAACTGTATGTTTTAAAGTGTCCAATACTCGAGCTGCTGTGTTGTTTCCTCGCTTTATGGCTCGACTTAAAGGCGTTTTGTAAGCCGCAAGGCGCAAAATTGTGTAAAAATGCTGTGCCACTCCCCACAGTTAGCGTACACGTAGGCCATGGCAATGTTGGGAGAGCCTCATAATGGCTGCCATGATGGCCCTGCACACTGCACGGCTATAGGCGGAATCAGATAGAGAAAATGTCCATACATGTGCCTGCATGCGTCCAATAGGCAGTGTGGAGCTGCTGGACGTGTGCGCATGTTCTGAACAGGCATGTAAAGTGAAATCTTCACCATATCTGTGAGGTCGACATGAGAGCAGCGTATGACACGTACAGGTGTTCATTTCGAATCTGTAAACTGGGTGAAATCTCACGTGGAGGTGTAACTTAATGCTTTTCCACGGTGATCATTTACATTGATGTTAAAACCTTCCTACCGTTGTTTATTCAATACGTAGGGCTTTTGGAGATTATTACAGAATATTTTCATTACTTAAAAATGTAAATCTTAAAATGCGTTGTTTCGTCCTGCAGTGGATATTGTTCTTGTGTCTGTAGAGATTTACCTGATGCACATTTCCAATATAATTAATATGTAGACGTAATCCATTTGAATTTTCTCAGATATTTTGAGAAAAAAACATTTATATTTAAGTACACTTTAGAAACAATTTCCTATGTCTAAATCCTGTATTCAGATCATAATATAATGTACACATTTTGTTATGAATTATATTTGTAATGTATGTATGGTTACTATAGTGATAGGGCTTGAGGAATGAACCATTTGACAGTTGTTGTTGCCATATTAATGTGGGAGCTCATCTTCAGGCCTGCTGGCAGTTTTGGGCTTTGTGAGGCTGCTGTAGTTTGCTAATTGTGTTTTATTGTGTTTTTCTGTTGGTTAATGTCTTTAGTGTGCTAATAAGCATAGTGGGATATAACATTTAAATTATATCAAATTTTAAGGGTTAACTTTGTCATTGTTTTATTAAATTATCTTTGTAATACAATTATGTTTGTAAATAGGTTTAATCTGAAAAGATTGGGCCTTTTCCAATGCAATTTAAAATCAACATAGAATAGATGCATTTTTGATGGCGTATTTCTTTTTGTAATGTTATTTCACTTTTGATTTATACATTTAAGAGTAGTCCAAATAGGTCAGGTTTCATATCATTTTGATATAATTCATTTTTTCTTTATAAAAGCATTTGAAGGTTCTTGTTTTGCAAAATAAAGAATCATAAGTTGCACCTTAATTGAGTTTAGGAAATGATTTTATCAAAATGAATCGTGAAACAAGTGTAATAATAATAATGTAGGTTATTTCCTATAAATTCATCTTGTATTTCGATGCTGAGAAAACTGCTATTCAAAAGGAAATGTTCTCCTATTAATTATAATTGTAGATTTGAAGTATCAATAGTTAAATCATTTGGTTATCAAATAATAAATACAATTACATTCTCAAAACATCAGAGAAAAAAAAGTAGATTTAGGTAGAAAGATTATCAATAATTATTTAATTAATATTGTCTTTATTTGATTAGAAGAATACATCTTAGTTTGAAGAAAATATTAGGTTTGTTTACTCAAACCTGAACATCTTTCAGACATTTTGATTTCGTATTTGTTACTTTTTTGTAATGGTTGCTTATTTTGATACCAGGAATGAGAAAACCATTTTTTTTTTTACCTTTGTAAACTTTCTTGTTAAGCAAAACAGGTGGCTGTGTCACTGCAACACCAGGAAACAGAGTGTGACTTGATGTTAATTGATATTGGGCCTATATAAACAGTATGCCGTGTGGTTTGATTATCAACAGGCGGGGCTGTGAAGGTGTGGACAAAGCCACTACCGTTACTCCTCTGTGTGAGTCATATCAAGCTTGTGAAGTGTGTTGTCCTGTTGTTATGGGGTCATGTTGTTGTGCGGTAAACACGTTTCACTGAACAATATATATGATTTTTTATTTGCTGTTCAAGCCATTGATAACAAACACAAACGTTTTTGTTTTTACCTCTCTTCACCTGGAGTGAAAATGTGCTCAAAGAACATGTGATGAATTTGTGATTGAGTCCTTACTCATGTGGTACATTTTATTAGCACTGTATCACAAGAAACACATGTTAAACTATTGGTGCACTTCATAGAAACCCATTTGCATGTGAGTGTTGTTTAATAAAGTTAAATTGGTTGCAATACCTTTTTTTCACACCAAAGGATACAGACCAAGAAGTGGGTGTAAACATCTGCATTGCACCACAGTGGTGCACATGCACATGTGTGTGTTGGGTCGTCAGTGCACTGAGTCAAAACAGCAAAATACGATAGCCATCAGTTGATCCACTCCGAATCCATTAATACTCCCCAGTTGATCCTGGGTGTAGGGGAAGCTCTCCAATTTAGACTCCAGTTTTGTCCGGAGTGATAGCAGGAGGCAGTGCACTGCTCCCCTCTAAACCCACATCCGCTGCCCGCCTCTCTGACTCCTCATGTCCCCTGTCTGTGAGGAGCGAGGGCTCAAAGTGATCCGTTTAGTCCAGCGATTGAAGCAGATTCCCGAGGTGTCTCTCAACTATGTTAATTTTCCGCCTTACAGAGCCAGTCATTGTCTTTAACTTAAGTTTGTTCCATCTGATGTTTTTTCACTCATTAAGAGTGACTCCATGTTGTGGAATAATGTATCTTTGACAGAGCTCCTGTTAAAAAGGATTCAACACTAGAAGGTTCTCCATTTGCACTTAAAGAAATAATGACAACTTGTTTGGTATCGGCTGAAGCCTTTTATTTCAGTGTGTTCAAGGCACTGCATTTAAATATTAGCTGTTCTCTTAGCGCTACAATATTGTATAGCAATTATTAACTTTAGCTTGAATGTGGAATAGGATGTATTTTTTCTCCTGAAGTGATAACAGACTTGCTTGTGCAACAGAGTATACAGTATAGCTTAAGGGAGCCGCGAGATAAGATGTGAGAGCATTTTAAATTCATTGTGTGTCTAACAGAGGGGTGGAATCGCTGTTTAAACTCCCCAAGAGGTGGAATATATATATTTTTTTTTACAGACACTTGCATGTGCATCGCAGCAGCAACCGTAGAGATTGATTTCTCAGTAAGCTGCAATTCATATTCCGCTCCAACCTGTTGCATGAGTAAACGTATTACTGCAGAATGACTCATTATTTTGCCTGCGTTTTTATTTGTTGCCTGTCTATTACACATTTCCTCTCACTGTTTCTTAGTATTTCATGATGAGAGTTATTGATAGAGTCCATTTAAGTAAATAAACCCTTATTGATCAGAGATTAGCAGCATGGAGCCTCCTTTATCTGAGCCACTTCAGCCATTCTTCTTCTTGTAACTGATGAAAAATCCTCATTCTGTTACTAGAAAATAAAACACATTTTAATATCTGCATACTGTTAGCAACAGAATGATTTTGAAAAGGAAATATGGAGCAGCTGTTCATTTAAAAATGACTCCCCTCCTGAAAACAACCTGGTAACATACCGCACTACTCATAATCATTATTTATAATTCATTAAATATTGAAATGAAGCACATTGAAGACATGAGCAATAAATCAAACTCTGCCTAGCTTAACAGCATCCTAAAACATCTGCTCAAACTAATGTTCGTCTATCATATGAAGTATTTGACAGGTAGGTAAGAAGCACTATTAGCAGTTCAATTACATTTATTAGAAATGATCTCAGTCATCCAAAACTTTGTATTTCTAATCAATTACATTCAATTTCTGAAAATGATATCTTCTTTTATTCTCACTTTGTACAAAATCTAAATATGACAGCCGTCCCAATACTTCACATAGTTGAGCAACATGAGTT